AAAAATAGGAAGACCCCAAGAAGATGGATCGACAAGGTGGCCGCAACAATGCGTTCAAGTGCAACAGCAGTTGTGAGGTTGACGCAGGACCAGGCATTTCGTTCTGTTGTGCATGGGGTCGCTATGAGTCAGAGCTGACTCCATGGTACCTAACAACAACAGCCACAAAGCATCACCCTGACACCCAAAGAAGACATTACCCTCCCCCACAGAATAACACCCAGAAAACTACAAACCAGTATGTTCATGAAAATAGATGTAAAATTTCTAAACAAAATTTTACATTAAATACATATATAAAAGGGCAATCAATGCATCATGACGAAGTTGGGTTTATCCCAACTGAACAATCAATATAGCTCATGATAGTTTGAAAAATAAATAAAAACCACATTATTCATCTCAGTAGATGTGGGAAAAGCATTTTACAAAACCCAGCATCCCTTTCTGATTTTATCACAAAACATCCTAGCCAACTAGTCATAGAAGGGAACTCTCTCAAACTGATAAAAGGCATTGTCTTAATTGTGTGTTGTTTTTAAGTGCTGTGCAGTCAGTTCTGACTCATATTGTCCCTGTTTAAGGTTTTCGAGGAAGGGCTCGTGGGGTTGAAAGATCCATTTTGCATTAGCAGTTCAATACTTAGCCCACAGCACCACACCAGGACTCTATAGTTTTCTAATGCAGCTACAACAAGTGGTTTCAGCAAACAGAAATTTATTCTCTTGTAGTTTAGGAGAATATAAGTCCAAATTCAGAATGGCAGCTTTAAGACAAGGCTTTCTCTCTTTGTTGGCTCTGAAAAAAGGTCTTTGTTGCTTTTCAGCATCCATAGGCCCAGTGTTCCTTAGCGATCTCCACACATCTTGTCATCTGTTTCCCAGGATCTAGGAGCTTTACAGTGTAGGGACGTCCTCTTCCAATGTGGTATTTCCATTGCAGCAGAACTTGATAATTTAATATTGTTAAGATGTCAACTCACCCTAAAACATCGATATACTTAGTACAATATTATTAAGATTACAGCAGACTTTCTTATACAAATAGATAAAATGATTTAAAAATTAATCCAGAAATGTGAAAGACAGAATAACCAACACAACTTGGAAGAAAAAAGAACAAATTTGAAGGTCTAGAACTACCTGATTCTGATTTATTACAGAGCTACAGGAGTCAAGCAAGTCTGAGGTGACAGGAGACAAACCTTAATTGACCAGAACAGGGGATCCAGAAATAGATACACCTCTATACCAGCAGCTTGTTGTCAATGAAGAGACACAACGACACAAGGAAGACACATGAGCAAGTCAGTGACAGAGAAGCAGTCCTTTCGACAAGGATGCTGAAACAGTTGGGAACGCACATGCAGAAAATCGAGCTCCCATACATATCTTAGCATCAGATGTAAAACATTTATTCAGAATGGGCCAAGGCCCTAAATGTAAGTGCTAAAACCATAAAGCTTTTATAAGAAAATGTGGGAGAATACTTCTTTAATCTTGTGCCCGGCAAAGATTTCTTAGCTATGACACCCCAATAATAAACCATTAAAAATAAATAAATAAAAATTAAACACCTGACACGCTGGACTTTGGCTCTTCAAATGACATTGCTGAGAAATAAGAAGACAAGCCACAGATACAATTTAAATCATGTATCTGATCAAGGTCTTGTCTTAAAGAACTTTCCCAACTTAAGAAAGCAAACAACCCAGTAAAAACGAGCAACGTATTTAAACAGATGTTTCTCCAGATCAAATATATGGATGGTAAATAAACATGGGAAAAGATGAGAAACATTATTAGTTGTTATTAAATATTGTCAAGTTGATTCTGACTCCTAGCACCCCTGCATAGGATTTCCAAGGAGCAACTGGTGGGTTTGAACTGCCAACCTAGAGCACCACACCAGAACTTAAGGAAATGAAAGTAATAACCCTAATGAAAAGCACCACATACCTATTAAGACTGTTGCAATTAAAAGACGAATTGCAGACTTCTGGCAAGATGGCGGACTAGGCAGATGCACTACACAGATCCTCTGCAACAAAGATACGAGAGACCAAATGAAACAGACACAGATGGAAATCCTGGAATCCTGCACTTCAGAGGAAAGTTTAGAGAAGTGGAGTGAGTGCTTCTGGAAGGAGAAAATGAGCAAGGACAGAGAGAGGGGGAGACTGGTGTACACCTGGCCAGATGCAGTGCGACCATCTTGGACTTTTGTGAGCAGTGTTGGCAACAGCAGGTAGCCTGGCAAAGCAGATTCGCACAAGCAACAGGAAAGGAGACAGACAACACCACAGCCATACAGCCAAAGCCATACTGTCTGCAGCTTCACCCACTGTGCAAGAGCCAATACCAGCTCCTAGACCACCTGATCAAAGACAGACCCCAGCCAAGACCAGCCCATCCCCCACTAAGCTGAGGCGCACCAACGGTGAACAGAGAATGGTGCACAAGCTTCCATTCTTTATACCCACAGGAGACAGAACCTAGAATCAAAGTGCAATCATCACTTAACTATGACAACAACACAGTGTCCTGGAGATAACAACATACCAGTCCAGCCTTACCGGTGAAAACTGCACAGCAGGAAAGTTACGAGGTTGAGTCAAGAGGTACCCACATTCCTGTGCTATTAAAACACCCGTTCACGTCCACGGCTGATGACAACACTGAGCGTGCACACGAAATGATTCTGTTGAATAGACGAGTGACAGTGGATAATGTGGTAAATCATTTTCAAATCAGCCCTGACTCTGCCTATGAAATAACGTACGACAGACTTCGGTTTTGAAGAGTTTGTGCTAGATGGGCACCGAAACAACTCACACAAGGGCATAAACCCAAGCATTTGGACATCTGCAAAGAAAATCTGGATCAATACTTGAAGGAAGGTAAAAGTTTCTTTTAAAAAGTCATTACTGGTGATGAGACCTGGATTCATCACTACCAGCCTGAAAGTAAATGGCAGAGTTTGGAATGAAAACATCCTCAACCACCAACCAAGAAAAAGTCCCAAAATCCACCATCAGCTGGAAAATGGATGCTGACAGTTTCCTGGGATTCTCAAAGGCTGGTATTGGAACACTAGCAGGTAAAAGTTTCAACAATCAACAGTGCTCATTACAGTGAGATGCTCACTGAAGAGCTGAAACCTAAATTTCAGATTAAATGTAGAGGACTACTATCTAAAGGTGTTGCGATCTTGCATGACAATGCAAGTCCACATACCTCTGTCCACACTGTTGACACTCTGTGAAAACTTCCTTTGGGGGTGTTAAAGCATCCTCCACATAGTCCTGATCTTGCTACATCACACTTTCACCTGTTTGGTCCCTGAAAGCAGCCCTTCAAGGATGAAGATTCACCTCTGATGAAGAAGTGAAGACAGATGTGTATTCATGGCTCTGAGCTCAGCTCAAAACATTTTAAAATAAGGGAATGCAAAAGCTTATTGACAGATGGATAAAATATATGGAAAAGCAAGGAGATTATATTTTAAAAGATTATTCATCTTTTATAAAAGTTGATTATAACAAATTCTACAGCCAGTGTGTGGATAATTTTTTACTCACCCTGGCAAAGCGCTTTTGCACACACAACAACGTAGATGATCTTAAAATAACTAAGCTGAATGAACTCAACCAGACAATGGGGTGCATATTATACAATTCCATTCTCTTATGTTCTTGTTGTATGACTCCATACACATGACATTGTGCTATATTGTTATATGTGCTGTATGACTCCACTGGGCACCATTCCATTATTATGCACCATATCATTCGGTCATAGTATTATGTATGACTCCATTCATGCAGTGGTCTGTTCTATTATCATGTGTCATATGACTCCACTCACACAATATTCTGTTCTGTTATTATACAGCATATTATTCCATTCACACCTGGTATCATAGTGGGTTATGCATTGGGTCAGCAGTTCAAGTCCAACAGGAGGTCCACAGGAGAAAGATGAGGCTTTCTGCTCTTGGCAAGATTTGCAGCCTCAGGAAACCTACACAGGGCTTCTGTGAGTCAGAATCAACTCGATGGCATACCACTGCCATCTCATTCATACACCTTGCTATTGTATTATTACATATGACTGCGTTCCATAACACTCTCCTACATTCATACATGCATCTGGTTCTGCTCTAGTAATGTTACAGGACTCCATTCACACAATGTTATGTCATGTGTTCTGTGGTCCCATTAACACAATGTTGTGTTATATTATTGCTCCATGATTCTGTCCTGACACCATTCTGTTACATGATTGTTACATGTTATATGGCTCCATTCACGCTATCTTCTGTTCCATGACTGTTATATGTTATACGACTCCACGCTACATTCTGTTACATGATTGTTACATGTTATACGACTCCATTCACGCTACATTCTGTTACATGATTGTTATATGTTATACAACTCCATTCACGCTACATTCTGTTACATGATTGTTATATGTTATACAA